GACACAAAATGAAGTACAGCAGTACTAAAGCATTTGGGAGAGAAATAGCTTTAAGCCAGAAGGAATGTACTAATTAAGCAGTGTAATGGAAGGGTAAACTGGGGGAAGAGGGACCTGAGCCATGAGAAACAGAGGGGAAGAACAGGGGAAAAAGTCCCAATCACTGTACTTTGAGAAGGTACAAAGGCAATTCTTTAAAAAAAAAAAAATAAATAAATTTTAAAATCTAAATTTAAAACCCATTTGACCACTAGTCTTGTAAAGACCAGGAATGCTTTGAGCCAGTAACACCCCAATTTCAGCTGAAGCACGCCGCGTTCCAGAGCAGCAGCCGGGGAGAGGGGTGCGACGCGTTGAACAGCTGGCAGCCTTTTTTAGAGGTCCTGCTATAACGAACGGCTCTGACCTGCCCACGGAGCAGATTTAATGGAGTATTAACGGCGCTTTTGCCAAGTCACTGCTCTTCCAGCACTTCAACACCAGAAATGGGAAAAAAAGGAGTTCTGAGCTACATAGCTCTTAGCAAATGGGAACAAGAGGGCATTGCACACTCTTTATCCATGACTTCTTGACAGTGGGAGAAACGATACTTCTGGAAGCACGGTCCAGTGTTACTTCATGTTAGAATTATCTTCTGCATTGCTGCTGGGTGGTTCGGAAGATGATCTCATGCGCTCACACAACTGGCTGCCAGCTGGTACCCAGCTTCGGAAGCCACATAAGCTGTTTTCTAACCGCATGTTTTGCTGTGGTTTCTAAGGAAAGCGGTCACATTTTGACTTCATAGATCAGAGGGGTGTTTTGTTTTTAAGAGGGTTTGAGGACAAGACCTAAAATTCTTGTCCTAGTTAAGCAACCCCACTTTTCACAACCATCTTCCTTCCCCTGTTGCCCATTTGGTTTCTCCGTAACTACGTTAAAGCACCAAGCTCCCACAGAACTGGCTATAAATGCAGGTTTGCTGACTATCTCACTGTTGGTTGCGATGAAGTTTCGTGTTTAGTGATATTTTCTTTTTGTATCTCCTCGCTTAATTCTGTCAGTTTGTTTCACAACTCAGCCATAAAATATTTTAAGAAACATTAATCTTCCTTGCAATCAGGAAAACATCAAGCTGAGTTTTGGGAATACCATTTCAAGTTGACACAGACACTTTAAAAGAATGAAGAGTCTTTTTTAGCATCATTACATCAATCTGCTACACTGTGTGAAGCATAATTAACTGTTGTGCAGCTGACTAAAGAACTGCATTTTCCAGTGACTTCAAGTCTACAAGTTAAATCAACAAAGCCAGAGTGTTCATTTAAGAATAGCTTTAAATTGTTTTTCCTACTTGATCAATAATTAATGTTAGCGACCCTTTCATTTAAAAACATGTCAAGTATTTATGCTTCTTCACTATGACATGTGGCAACTTCTTGCAGATGCTCAGCTCGCAACAGAAATTCTCAGCTTGGAATGGAAGAAGTGAGTAGTGAAAACTGACTCCAGTATTCTTAAATTGAATGCATAACAGGTTACAATTCATGTCAGGCAGTAGCTGTTGAGCAAAATGACAGCACTACTATAAATTCTAGATCAACAGAACCACCTCAAGTCACAGAAGTGTAAACTTGTTGGCCAGTCTCACCACCAACTAGTCCTATTCTAGCTAGTCTTGGTCCAAACCGTGTTTGTTCTACTTACTTGCAATATCCTTGGCTCTCACACGCCTGGAGCCAGACTAGTTTGAGCTGCACAAAGGGTTGAACACACGTTCACAGAAGAAAAACGGTGCATTTTGCCTGGTGTGTACAATCTGTCCATGCACGTCCTGGGTAAGGTTTAATTTATGCAGTCTCGATTGTGCTATTCATACCTTGCGTTAAAGCTGGATTTGCTTCAGATGGTGCTTTCCACTGCAAACGCGTGAATACGGTGTTACTGCGGGATTGCATTTTATTAACACCGTAAAAAAGGATTTCGGAGCACAGGAGTCCGTTACTCATCCTACACAACTCTCATCAAGAACTACATGCTGTAAGACCCCCCCCAGACAAAGGCTCAACAGCATTAAAAGCCAGCCCTTACGTGCAGTACTCAGTCCTGCAAAGCAGGGAGGCACGTCATCTCCCATCCTTATTTCCCTGGCAACTGTTCTCTGAAGATGATGGCTTGCACAGTGCTGCCAAAGCTCCCGAAACACGCTCTTTTGGCCTGTGGGAAGGTTCTGTTGCCTACAGGCAAGGCAGGTACTGGAGTATCCTGAAGGCACGCTCCGCCAGCTGTTCAGGCTGGATTCATCGCAAACCCCGTGTCCCACTACAAGAACGCAGCCATGAAGAATCTAAATAAGCTGACTCTCCATGAAAGCAACGGAATGCCAGTACCAGTTTTACCCCTTGCTGCTCTTCAGAAAGGGTCTGCTGCATCCCCTTTCCTAAGGGAGGGGAGTTAGTCATCCCACTGTAACGAACTTGCCTGTTCTTTATCATCGTTTGATTAGAGTACAAATCACTACCCAGGCTTTGACTGAGTCCACAGGAGGAACGGTGTTGGCATAGGGGTATAGCCCTAGTTGCCCTGTCTCTGTGGGGTAGTGTGTGAAAAGCTCCTGGAAAACTCAGGAACACTGACCAGTCTTGGACATTCCTAACAGGAGCAGCATTCCTGAAAAGCATCCTGGTTCTCTGCCTGCCCTCCACGTTAAGATGAGCCCTGAGGCATTGCTGTGCTATCCCGAACACCGCTGAGGGGAAGAGATCCTTTGAGCACAACTTATCAGTCCCCTCTTAATCTCCAAGGAGAAGGACCAGCTTGCCCTCTTGGGTGCTGTGGGGGCAGAGGTACTCAAGAGGACACCCACCTGCAAAGGCAGAGTGATCTAATGGTTAGATCTCACAAGACCCCACCTGGAGTGCTGCATCCAGCTGTGGAGCCCTCAACATCAGAAGGATATAGACCAGTTGGAGTGAGTCCAGAGGAGGCCACGGAGATGCTCAGGGGGCTGGAGCCCCTCTGCTATGGGGACAGGCTGAGAGTTGGGCTTGTTCAGCCTGGAGAAGAGAAGGCTCCGGGGAGACCTTATTGCAGCCTTCCAGTACCTGAAGGGGCTACAAGGAAGCTGGGGGGGACTTTTTACAAGGGCCTGTAGTGACAGGACAAGGGGTAACGGGTTTAAATTGAAAGTGGGGAGGCTTAGATTGGATATCAGGAAGAAGTTCTTCCTGGAGAGGGTCGTGAGGCACTGGGACAGGTTGCCCAGAGAAGCTGTGGATACCCCGTCCCTGGAAGTGTTCAAGGCCAGGCTGGATGAGGCTTTGAGCACCCTGGTCTAGTGGAAGGTGTCCCTGCCCATGGCAGGGGGGTTGGAACTAGATGGTATTTCAGGTCCCTTCCAACCCAAACAGCTCTACAATTCTAATGTCTGCAAATACCACAGCTGTGTCACAGGGCTGTCCCTGCCCTGCTGTATGACAGCCATGTGTGAATCAGAAGAGGAGAGGGTATGATGAGAGTTGACAGTTTGATGTTTAAGCCCCCATAATGCCCACTCTGAGTGGCTTCTGATGCATTCTACCCAGAAGAATCTTATGATAGGACAAAAGCCCGAGGCATATCTGCCCAGAGTGTGAGTAGTTGCTGTGTGAGCCATCCCCATATGGGAGTCATTAGCAAAAGAATCTGAAAGCATCTGCTTCAAAGATTTCAGCCAGATAACACTGTCTTGTATTGTCTACCCAAACTGTTATACAAATCCTTAAAACTGCAAGCAGCTATCCTAAAGCTTGAATTCTACTAACATCTCTGTGGGTGATTAGTTAAAACAACAGTACTCATTGCCAAGACAACACTGATCTTACGCACTGTTTACTATCGATGTGGTGTAAGTGCAGGCACACCTGTGAATAGGTTGAGAGGGCATCACGTGACTAGTTACAAGGTAATCCTTTAACATCCCAACACTACTATTAATTCAACTAGAACATCTATGCCTTCTAGTCCAAAACATGTTCATGATCATCCTTCTCTACCCTCCCCTCCGTTTCAAACCCATGCAACAAGCCAAACACAAAGACTTTGTCGTCTCAAGGATTTTAATAGCACTGGCCAATTGAGAACATTAAAACCAAGTAGAAATAAAGTAATAGTAAAGGCAAAAACGTCAAGGTAACATAGAAAGTACTCATTCTTGTTAATTAAATGAGGTAACATGGGGCTGAATTTTTATTTTTAGTAATTTCTGAAGAGCAGAGAATAATTCTTGCAGATTCATTAAGAAAGCTGCTTTCTGATGAAGTATGTAAGCAGAAAGGAAGGAAAGAGAACCATCAAGGAGCTTTGAAGCCCACATTTGCTTTCTGCTTGGACTGACGCCAAATGAAGGTAATTCTGCTTAAATTCAATGTTCAAATGAGCAGCACGCTCCTCTGCTGAAGCTGGGTTGTACTGCTGTAAGTAAAGCAAGCCTTGCCCCAGGAATATGATGAGATCCGTAACCTGTGTGGCTGCACATGGAATGTAGTGTAGGCAAGACAGCCAGAGACTCAAAAGCAGAGATCTGCCAGTGGATCAGTTCACAGCTGCTGGCCCACTGTCACGAGCTACACGACAGGTGTCTACAGGACTATCTGGCCTCCCAACAGATGCTGTTAAGACTGTACCAGTGCCCACTGATCCCAACCAGGATTGGGGTATTACCCCTGCAGCCAGCTCTGGTTTAGGGCTTGACCCAAATCCTAACAAATTCACTTAAGAGTTTCTCCTGTGACCCCAGTGCCAGTTAGAGAAAACATTTAACTGGGCAAAGGATTACCCCAGAAGAAAGTGAAGAATCAGCGAGACCAGGATTCCTGACCACTGTCCACAACTGGACTAAAGTAACGAGATGTTTGATTTCTTTTGCTTTCCTATCACTTGGAACATTTAAAGTGCAGTTTAGAAACATTTCTGGAAGCAGATGTCTGCAGTTTGAAGGTAACTTTTCCACTTAAAAGATGATTCATTATTAAAAACGGGTCTGTACCATCTTCAGTAACCAAAAAAATTGCTATAAAAATAGAGATTTGAAAATAGACTGAGTTCACATGTACCAGGTAGCATTTCTAGTGTAAAACTGGTTTTTAGTTTATGAAAAATAGCTTTCCTTAAAAAAAGCATAGGCTTAGTTATTATCACTAAGAAGGTCCACAGAATTCATTCAGTACCTATGAAACATTATACTCTAGGCTTTTTGACAGGTGGGTCCTGCAGGCTGAATTTAGGAATTTCACACGAAGAAGCGAAAGGAATTCTTTTGGCTGACACCTTCTTCCCAATTGTTTCAATCTGAAAGAGAAAACACATTGAGGAAGTGAGCCTGGCAAGCCAACAGAACCATGTCAGCCTATGAGGAATCTACAAATGACACCCACGACCATGACTACCTTTCAGGAACACAATCCACGAAGCACAGCGTGCCCAGGGACAGCTTCTGGGATTGGGGTTGCAAAGGGGTTTTTTAAAGCCATCCTTTCATGGGTGGCTGCTCTGCCTATCTGAAGTTGCATCTTGGAACATTCGTGTGCCTTAGCTTCCATAGGTCTATCAGTACCAATATTGTAAAGTGTTTCTGGGTATTCAGAAAGTGTGGGTTTGGCCTCCTTTGTCTGAAGATTTAGATCCAGCACATTAGGACAGAAGCAGCTTTTCCTCCTCCTTAATGCAGTGGGATGTTTTTGAAACAAACTCTGAAAGGCTAAAGACAACCAACTTCATATGAGAGAAAGTATGTAGCAGAGCTGATACATATATAGGCCAAAATTCTGCAAAATTCAAGGAGTGAGACAGGTTCCCCTAATTTTTAGGTCAGGCTACTATAAGTCAGGAAGGAGGGTGCTTGAAAAGAGCAAAACACCAGACAGTAAAATCATTCAAATGCCAAATAAGTGAGGAGAGCGGTAGCTTTTCCTCTTGGTGTTTCACACCTTAACTGTACTACCTAAGAGAAAAGGTAAATTGAAGTTTCAGTAATAAATTTAACAGAAGCTTAATGACTATATTCTAGACATACATCTGAACTGACTGTTTAAAGAGCTGTTCAGAGTGTGCTGATGTAACCAAGTAGTGATGCCAGCTACATGTGTCCTGTTTGCCCGTAACAGCTTCAACTGACTGAGTTTAAGCAGCTTCTCCAAGCCCGTTCCAACAGTGCAGTAATGACATGCTGTTTGGGCAGGGGAAGGAAAACAGGAGAGAAAGCCCGTGGCCATTACACAAGTAGTAATCGCAGGACCGAGGAGTAGGCAGAGTGAAACACACACGGGATCTGGCTGAGATGCTTCTGTCAGACTATTTGGGTGATTTTGGGGTTAGTCAAACCCTGCCTGAGCTAGAGGCGCTTCAGGGCAGGCTGATGCAGCTGGCTGTTGACAGCACAGGCTGACATAGCTTGGGTTTTGACAGACCACGAGTCTGTGAAAACAGGAAGGTACTGGAGGAAGAGCACTAGTGAAGAGACTTACGCACAGACGATTTTAGATTTAAATCCCTACCTGAAGGGGTTTTGCCACCCCTCCTTGCTACTCGGTTACTGCGGAGCTAAAACCAGAGGACACAGACAGCAGAAAGGAAAGAAGCATAAAGCAGCAGCATGACCCAGCTGATTACCTGGAAGCCAATGACTTGTAGCTCATTGTGAAGATCATCTAGAACTCTCCTCCCATCAAAGATGAATGCAGGCTTCAGCATCTTCTTATGAATACATTCATAATCCAACTCCTGTAAAGGGACATTAAAGCAAACAGAAAATAAATAGCACAACACTCCCTCTTTTTTTTTTTCCCCTCTTAGTTTCATTTGAAAATAACATTTTTACCTTAAACATGTCCCATTCTGTGCAAATTACAAGGGCATGAGCTCCATCACAGGCTTCATAGGGATCTTTACTTATAGTGACCAACCGAGACACTGTAACAGAAGGAAAGGAAGGTTTCTGCACACATCTGCATCAACCTAGTGCTCTCCTGGCAAACCTGCCTCCTTCCTTGCCCTGCTCAAACAGGAGGGGTTTCAGGTCACTCTGTCAAGACATTTGTCACTTGTATTTCACTTATTTAAATGAAAGCACCTGGTACCCGGCATCTGAACAGTCAGGGCACTGCTTGAGGTTAAGCATTCAGATTTGATTTAAACAGCCAAGAGCATCTCTAGAATCAGATGATCCTACGGAGTGTTGTAATTCCAGCCCTCAAAGGTCACTGCCCGTACAGCAGCAGCACATCACAGTTTCCATTTAACACTCAGCTCACACTAGAGAGGCTATGTGTCTCACTAGGAGCTGCCTTCATCCTTGGACTGCCCCAACAGCAGCCTAGAGGCAACCTTCCCACTCCCCCTTGTTAAAGGTCATGTCAGATGACATACACCCTTCACTCTTCATCATAGCTCACTCCTCCATTCTCTTCAGCTCTAGAAGTCTGATCTAGCCTTCTCCCTCATCCATCCACCACCTCCATTATGCTCCACCCCTCCCAGTAAGGAAAGAAAACAAAGATCCAAAATACTCCCTGCTTCTCCCCAAGAAATTTATAGGCACAGGTGATTTACTTCAAGGTCTCCCTGGGTTTAAGGGAACAGATTAATTTAGAAGTTACATGGGGGAGAGGAGAATGCTGTACAGTGACTTCCAGAATTATTTCTACTTCACATAGGCAAGCAAGAACTAAGGCAAGACAGGACATAAAGGACCTGACAGAACACCACTAGTCTTTCCTACTTCTAGTCATTCTTCTCTCTCTGTAATCAAAAGGAAGAGAAAACTCTTTGCATGAATTCAATTAATATTTACCAGAAGAAAAAGATACAGAAGTACAGAATTAGCACTTATCTGTAAGAGCTATGAGGAAGAGGGGAGAGTTACAGTAAATCCTCTGAGCTATGACAACCCTCCAGTAAGTGCAGCCAAAAGCACATCATTGCCATGGTGAAAGTGAGGAAATGAACTTACAGTGTACCTATATAGATAGGTGTAGTAAACAGACCTTGAGTATTTTGAGCATAGGGTGGGGAATAAGCCTCACATGAGCATTCTTACCTTGGTTATCTTCTGAAACACCTGGATGTGAGAGATCCAAGATGATCTGTTCCTTAGGTACTTTAGGATCATAGATATGGAGCTTTGCTCCCTCATCCATTAAATACTTGCTAATGTAGATACTGGATGACTCCCTAGGGAAATGAATCAATCAGTCAGAGAACCAGATGGCATGTTCTCAGTAATGAAAATCAAGTGTCACGATGTGAATGCCAGAGCTTTTACACCAGCTTTACATTAAGCATCTTGGTGATAATCCATGTCAGCAGCAAGCCTGAAGTCTTACGGGATGCCAAGGGAAGTAATATGATAAACAAGTTTACATCTCTTGCTGAATCATGCAAGAGAGAAACTAAGCCCCAGGACTCCTATTGACCATAATTACCAAGGCATCAATCTTACAAGCATTCCCCATGAACTGCACTTGGAGACAGGTGTATAAAGTTTGAGCTTCACAGGAAAACAGAATTAACCACCTTAGGGAAAAAGCTGAAACTTCGGCTTCACACAGCAATTCAGAGTCAGTTGCAAAGATGTTTACATTCTCTGTGGAAAATGGAAGGACTGTCAAAAATCTGTCTTTGCTTATGCAACTTAATAAGGACTTAATGAACGCCCCAAGCCTGCCAGGGTTTGAGGTGCATTTGGACTGTGCCTTTAACATGCTTTAACTTCCAGTCAGCCCTGAAGCCGTCAGGCAGTTGGACAAGATGACCACCGTAGGTCCCTGCCAACTGAAGAATATTCTGTTCTACCAGAGTTCTCTGCTCTAGCTTCTGAATGATTCAGGTGCCTTGCAGAGGTCAAGAATCAGTTCTCACCCGTTTAACACAGACTAATCCTTGTTACAAATCAATTCAGCCAAGACGTTAAGGGTCCCATATCCGACCTGGTTTTAACACCACAATTGAACTGGGAGGTTTAGCTGCATAACTGGTGAAAAATATAGAGAATCCACATTAGTGAACTGGATTTGCTTTCCTACCTTGTGTCCCCAGTATCCTTTTTGAAGGCAAAGCCTAAAATAGCAATCTTCTTGTCAGCGACAGTATTGAACAAGCTGTCGATAATGCGGGAAGCAAATCTTCTTCGCTGATAATCGTTCATGTCTATTACCTAAAGTTAGACGGAACATGAGGACACAGAAAGGAACTGTTTTAAGCTATAAACGGATTCTATTAACAATCAAGCCCAGCTACCCACACACAAATTTAAGAGAGGCTTAAAAAAAGAAAGTATTTTTACTCAGTATCATAAGTAATCCAAAGATAAACTTAGTTAATTTATCTAAGTTCTGAGACAAATCCTATTTTAATCAGTGACTGTGGATGCATGTACACACATACTATCTTGTATTACCTAGTTCAAAGGCTAGGATTTTTTCAGATTGCCTATTTTTTTTTTTTAAATCTGCAGTTTACCCTATTCTAGGCAGAAAGACACAAAGCAGTTTCAGTGTTAGAGTCCTTGATGTCACAGACATCCCACTGCCAGACCTACACTTCCTTACATGCCACGTGTCACAGCTGCGAGAACATTTTCAGCCTTTCAATCCGCACTAACAGGTTTCAGTGCACAAATCTGGTGTGGTTAAACCAGATTTAAGTGCTCTGCTTCCCGTGTTACATGAGAGTGGGGTCACTTGCTCTGATTGTTCCCGTACTCGCCTCCCAGCCTGCTTCATACTTTGAGCTCCAGCCCTTAACACACACTGGGTCACTAGTAGAGTGGGAAAGGTAGGTTTCCCCACCTAGTCAGTGTTTGAGGTGGACTGAAAAGAACGGTATTTCCCTCTCCGTTTTGAAACTTTCAACCCAAACTGAGAATCAACAGCAGCCAGGTTTATTTAAGGGAAAG